TTTGTTAAAAAAGAGCTAAGTTCTTAAAAAAAAAATTTTTAAGTTTATTGTGTAATATATCTCAAGCATTTAAAAGGTGGGAATTTTTTAATAAAAAATTTGAGAATATATTTTTATTAAGTTTCGTAAATTATCCTGTCTGTATGTGTGTTATACATCAAAACCAAGTTAGTAATATGTCCTGCTAATGTTTGGAAAAGAACTGTTGTTTTTATACATCGATCAAAAGCGTATCCCTGTCCCGAGCGCCAGTGAAATCAAGTAGGTAAACTTTTGAATTTCCTCTGACTTAGTGTTGACAAATCTCAAGAATTTCCAATTAGGATTTTTATCTTCAAATAAGCAATATATACAGATATATATGTCTTTTCTCCAAATAAGTAATATATACAGGGATGTATAATATTGTACATTATCAAGTATATAGTCCTTTAAACTGAAAACAATGGCGAAGATGTCGTTGTTGGAATCTATATTTGAGGCACACTTGTTAAAAATATTTCTTATATCTACTAACAGATTAAGCAAATACAAATGAATTGAGATCTACTTTCTTATTTAATAGAAACAATTCACTTTTTAGTATTCACTTCATGGATTCAAAACAATTCTTCATAATTTAGTACGAACATATATGTAAGAGCAGACAATTTTATCTTCACCGAGGTTAATTTAGATACCTTAAGATGTATTAAAATCAATCTGAAAAATTTTAATAACAATAATAATGTAAACTATCTACAATTTATATAAACTCTCATTAGTTCCAATATTTAATATACCTGCCACTTCACTGTAGTGAACAAATCACATCATAACAAAAACATTCTTACTTTTTTTATGTACTAATCTATTTCTTCATATACAATTGCTGCCAACCTGTCTAGTTATGCCGTAGGACAAAACATCAAAGCGACAGGTATTTCAAAAAGTTACCCAAAGACATGGAAGATATATTCGAAAGAATCAAGGAGAGAGGTGGAAAAGGTGTATTGAAGTTAACATTCCAAAATGTTGCAATTCTTTTGTCAATGAACTATTGGTCGATTGTTCCAAATGATGAAGTTGCCGTTTTGTTCTTATAAGCAGATTTGTTCCCTTCTTTACAAGAGGAAATTCTTGGAATCTTCTGTTTTGTAGAAATGTCACCTTTAAATTTTACTTGGATTTTATTTTTATTTATTTTTTTTTTTTAAAATCCTAGTGCACATTTTTTGCTAAAATTGCGCAAGGTGTTGACCTAATTTTAAATGGTTCACTGTAGAATAATTCTTGGAATACTATGTCCTGAAAGAAATACTATGTTTAATAAAAAGTGCGGCAATATTTTTGCTGACATTATTTTTGGTAAATTATACACCTATTTCTCACATTTATTACAAAGTTAAAATTAAATATTGTTTATATATTGAAGGTTCAAATGCGTTTGAGAAATTCATTCATTACCACAAGTGGTAATAGAGATTCATTGGAATTTCTATTCGATTTTCTATTTGGAAAAAATATAGGTTTGTTTTTTTATGTATGTAAAACCTCCACATAAAAATGCATTACTTAAAACTATACAGTAATCACAGTTAATCCAAAGAATATCCAGTTAATATCACTATTATCATAAAAGAAAATATACCTATAAGTGATATACTTATAAGTGATATAAGTGATAAAGTGGTCATTCAACAGAGAACTGAAAAAAGTCATAGGTCAGACAAACGATAAATGTCGTAGCCGGCTAAATTCATCTGAACATCGGCACATTCGTGGTATGGCTACTTTCGCAGCTTCGACCGTAAAAGGTAGGCTTTTATGCTTCTATAGTCTGTGTATTGAAGACAGAATTGGAAATTGCTGCAACTTAGAGAGCCGATGAATATCGTATTTTGCTATATACATCAAAAACGATAGCATGTCTAGCCTCAAAACTACGTTTATGAAAGGATATATCTATTATTAATGTCTTAAAGACAAAATTGCAGAAAGCTGCAGGAAAATGATGAATATTGCAGCTCTTTATACCATATTTATCAAAAACTGCGGTATGTAGTTTTGAACATATAAGGCTGCTTTGATTCTTTTATTAGCAATGTTTTAGACGTTGCATTCTCTTAGTGCCACAAAACTCTCTACTGCTATAAAACGGGGCTAATAACAGAACAAAAAACAATACGAGAGACACAGCATTGAACGGGATTTTATCATATATCTTGGAAAGAACTGTGATGAATGACACACATCTTTTAATCAATATATATGAAGACAATATATGAAGACTTCATATTCGATATAAGAAATCGATCAACTGAAGAAGAAATCAGTACGAACGTGAATCAGACGTTAGAACAGTTTATCCAAACTATGTGGAATCAATTTGCACATAAGATTAAAGAAATTACTTATAAACATAGATAGGTTATATCCAGTATAGAGTTAGTTAGAAATCGCATGACACCATGAATGACTTAGTAGTTATAATACGAATCATATTGTTGTTAATATTTATAATGTAAAGATACTATCGCTTATAAAAATAAAAAAAAGTCTTGAAATCATTATCACAAAACACCATAAATGCTAACATATATTAAAAAGATTTTATTTTAACTTTCACTAATAAGTTAGTCTAAACTAGATGATTGCAAATAAATGGCATGTTCAGGGAATCAATAGGATAGATACCGCCTTGACAACATAAATTAAAGACAATGAACAATTTTATGTTTATTTGTTTATAATATAAACTTTATATCTTAAAATTTTGATTGTAAAACCTTATAAACATAGCAGAAACTTATAGACTTTTATAAATAGATATGTAAATAGATTGTAGATGACTGATACAAAAGTACGTTTGTGCATAAAGTATTAAAATAAAACTCTTGAAGACAACATAAATTAGAATATTACTTATACACAACATTACTTAACAATTTTTATTAATTTGGATGTGAACTACAGAAAGACTTTAACAAAAATATTATCAAGTAAATCTCCTTTACCACAATTCAAGCTACGCTACTGTGTACAACAATATAAATCCGCAATAAATTCAAATGCAGAAATAATCTAGGGTTGAGAACAAAAGTGCTGCGTATATCAACAAAAGTGCTGCGCTTACTAACAAAAGTGCTGCGTTTGCTAACAAAAGTGATGCGCTTATTAATAAAAGTGCTGAGCTTATTAACAAAAGTGCTGCGTTTATTAACAAAAGTGCTGCGTATATTGGCAAAAGTTGTACGTAGAATAACTGGTTTCGCTGGTAAAAGATATTTAAGCTGACTTAATGGTCATCTGAACACCGTATAACAACTTTTTTGAATTCATTTCGGGAGTTGCGACGTTTATAAAAATTCCGATATAAAAACAAGCTGATTAAATTCTCTGAATGGATGCTCTGTGAATATAAAAAGCAAATTCTACGTATGGGATCTTAAAGCTTTAATTGCAAAAATTCAACAGAAATTAATAAGTATATGAGAATCTTTAAAATATCCACATCATTTATATATAATAATATCATCTGCGTAATCCCGTAACTTATATATATAATGATAAGGAAGTCGTTTTTATGTTACTAGTACATTTGAAGTATTGAGTATGGTAAAGTAATTCTCTACTGACGCCTTAACAGTTGTATAAATTATTTATTATAAGAATTAATAACTTAGTTTTCTAATATTATACAGAGTAGAATTAAGGTCTCGAAGCATATTTGCAAATCATATTCAATAAGTTATTTTTATTTAAAGGCATTGTAGATGTCTCCAGGTTCAAATAGTAAATGTAATCAATTTTGTGTGGTGCTGAATAAAAACTGCACTTACCATCTATTTTCTATTCTTTATATTTTTTTCATTTTTTTGTTTTTGGGCGGCGGGGAGGGAAATGCCCAATTTGCACGGACTAAGCCCCTTACTTTAGGGTAGGGTCCTTATTAGCCACTTAAGACTTCCATCAGTGCGATCTGCGTCCAAGTTCCGCTACTACTTCAGGTGGCTAGCCTTCCACTTCTTAATTACTAATTATTATTAATCAATTAATTATTATTTTGTTTGATTTAATCAGTAAAATTAATTAGTGTTATTATAACAACAGTGACAATTTTTTTAATAAAAAGTATACTTAAACAGCATAAGTTTTCGGAGAGACTCATGACAGTAGAATGGATTAAGCAGTTCTGCGCATGAGCAACCTTCTACATTACAGATTTTGTTAGGATCTTGCAATCAAACAATAACTCGTACGTATTAAAAAAAGGGCATTATAGATGATGATGAGTGCTTGATATTAATTAGGAAAAAAGTGGTTTACAGAAAATTAGAAATATCCATTAAGTCAAATAAAGAAAACTTAATATATTATGGGTTTGGAATTTTACTTTATTTATTTTCATTTTTTTCTTTCGTAAATGATTTAATAAAATAAATAATTTCAATATTATAACCTTACAAACTATACAAAATTTAAGTATAAAATAATGGATGAAGTCCCATTAATACAAAAAATTAATTATAATTAAAAGTAGTTTTTCTTAATAAAAATACAAACTTTTACAATTAAATTTGGTGAAACGCTGTATTCCATTAAAAATGTTCAAATCTATTATAAATGGACTAGAATTTTAGAACAAGAACCTACTCAATGCTTTAAAATTAGTTAATAGTTCAAGGCAGATAAACATATTGATGATACTTTCGATACAAGTGTCAATGAATATATTATAATTACAATTAGATAAAAATTTAAATTACTATAACAAATTTTATAGCATCAATTTTTATATGCTTTCACCTAAACAGAATATATTATATTAAAATATATTACATAGTAAAATTATGAGTATCCTTAGTTATTGTCGCTAATTATAGTTGTGTGTGAGTTAAACTTTATAGGCTAAATTGTATTTGGTACATTTAAGTAGTCCTCTCCACCGGAATGTTGTAATCAATGGATTCTAATTATTGCGAACCTCTACGCTGCCGCTACGCAATTGTAATTGCAGCTTATGCAATTGCAATGGTGCAGTTTGTGCTCATGTGTTTGTTTAGCAAGGACATACGCGAGAAGGATTTGTTGCATATTTTGCAGACGTACTTCTTGATGAAGACGTGTGTTTGTTGATGGGCACGCAAATTGGAACGATCAGCGAATGAGCGTGGGCAATCTGGACACTGGAATGGCTTCTCTCCAGTGTGTGTGCGTATATGTCCTTGGAGTAACCATGGCCTGGAGAAGGCTTTTCCACATATATTACAACGACATGGTAGTGTATGTGTGCGAATGTGCATCTTCAGAGCACCGATGGTTGTGTAAAGTTTACCACATTCTTCACAGGAATGTTGTTTCTTCTCTTGGTTGCATTCGGCCGCTGGACAATGGAACTGTTGATGCTTTGATAGGCCAATTGATGTTGAATACATTTTGTTACATTTTTCGCACTTAAAACGGTAATTCTTTGGTATAGCGTTCAAAGCTGGTCCGTTGCTGACAGAATTTCCGCAAGTGGTGTAATGATTGCTTTTTTGTGTTAAGTTGGCATCTGTTGGTGCTTCTTCGAATAAGTGAAACAATGCCGGTAATGGTATATCATTGCGCACCGAAAGATCTTCTGGTTCGGAACTAACATCCGAGCCAGGACTTGATGGTGGCGTGATTTGTTGGTAGTTGTATGCTGGTAGTCTTGGAGATGAGATAGATGCAGTGGATGCTATGGATGAAGCAGGCGATGGATATATGTTACTTATATTTGGTTGATATGTAGTCCAGAGTGCAGTCATTGGATTACAACCAGCAGCCATTACAAATGCCGAACTGTATGGATTTGTTGTAGCTGTTAATCCTCGTAAATGTATGTTTGTAGTTTCATATTCCACTGAACCTTCCATATCAGTTTGTGGCGATAACATAGCTGAACTGGCATAATATTCAGTGTTGCAGGAGATTGGTGTTTCTGGACGATATTTGTATTGTATACTTCCGGTTGTATCAACATTCTTAGACAAATTCAAAACATATTCACGTTTTGCTGGTACGACGTAATCCACCAGATCATCGTCAGCAGATTTGCGTTTTAATGATAAATCCTCGGGCTGTTCATTCTCAGTGAACTCGGGTTTGGTTACTGCAAGTGAGTCATATTGGTGAGTTTCCTCTTTCACATAAACGATCGGGCGTTTCTTGAGTGGGCAGCTCTTGTAATTTGTTGCCATTGTAAACAAACGATTCACTTTTTAACGAAACTTCACGAAAAACACGAAATAGATATTATAATTTAAAATTAAAGAAAATTTAACTAGGAAAGAACTCTAAACGGTTTGAGCAGTTGTGCTACAATGACAGGTTTGCTCAGTGCTCGGTCTTTTATATGCGTGTGCTCACCTTTTTTGTTGATAGAACTGCCTCTGTGTCTTCTGCTATTACTGCTGCTGTTGCTGGTGCTAGTGCTGTAAATGGTGGTGGTTTCTGTGTACTCTTTTGCACCATCATTCACACATGTGCTCATACATGCTATTGTGTTATACACAGTATTTTTGGGTCTTTACAACACATTAGATTTTCCCGTTCCCTTATCATATGCTTTCCATTTGTGAAGAATCGCATGCTACCTAGAAAGTTTTAATTTATACGGAAAATACGCAGAGAACCCTCAATGTGTAGAAGCGATTGAGTTGATTTTGGTCGAAACGTCGTGAAACGATCAGTAACATTTTGAATATGCAATGTTTGGCACAAACCACTGATATCGCAAATTTGTGGAGTAGAAATTTAATTGAATAGAATTCATCTCACACATTGGCAGGTTATGTTAAATATTAAAAGCAACATGATCAGTGCCTCTTTATTATTTGAACTTTTTTCCAATATTTAAATAATTTTTGAAAATTAAAATTTTGTTGGGAATAACCAAGGGGTTATTTATAATAATACTGAAGAATTCTAAGCTCTACTATATTTTCTTATTTTTAAAAAGTTTCTTACTTAGTGAACTTCATTATTACACTTACACTATTAGTAAATCTAAATATCTAAATATATTTTATCATATCCTAGATAGAATTTCAACTTGAGTTGGATCTTTCTGCTACTTCGGTGTGAAATAGGGGAATTTCTTTTCACATATCTGTTATACGGCAAGGGCTATTTGATCTCTTGCATAACTTATGACAGCTTCTCATTTTCCTTTCTCTTAATTTCTTTCTCATCAAAAACGCAACAACTGCATCACAATATTTCTCTTTCCCTTCAGTTACTCATACAATAATTTAACAAAAATATTTCCCCTGTGAATTATAATTACATAGATTTGGGTTGCATTGCTACTTGCATGTACCGTGACAGCTCAGCACTACGCACCACAACAGAACACATGCCACCATAATTTCTCATTTATCAACATGACTTCAACTACTTTGTTAGATTGTCTAAAGGGCAGGTACTCGATTCTCTAGACTAATACATGTCTCCCATTAGCACAATAAAGATTGGAATTTTGTTTCAATTTCAATTTGTTTCATATTTCATTCAATATTTGAACAGTCCTCATCAATTCTATTTGAGTATAATTTCCACTTTCGAATTAGAAACTGGAAGCGGGGTCGTTTGGAACATCTATGTAAAATACAGTTGTCCATACAAATTTTAGTTCATTATTGGATATACCCATGGTCATTGTCCAATCAACATCTGTTGTTGCTCTTTACAAAATCTTCCCTTTACATAATATGGTCAATACATTATAGTCTCTTGTATACCATTTATTAGTTCTTAAATATTTATTACTTTATACTTTATTAATGAAAAAGTTATATTATTCGGAACTAAAATAAAATATTGTTATTATTTTTTAATAAGTGAATGTTATTAGTACCTGGTCTTAATAATTCAGGTACCCAAATTTTAATTATGATAGTCAACAAAAAATATTTTGCAATAAAAAACTAAAATCCTCTTTTACGAGTAAGGCGCGGAAAATCCTACAAAATTCAGGGAAACACATGAACCAAGAAATTTATCAACTCTAGTAGTTATTTACAAATATCTATAATATATTTTTATATGTAAAAATATGTATATAAGACTTTAGAGAACATTTTAACGTCACAATAGCAACAGCTATAGGTAAATAGCACAAATATGCTTATATATGTATATACAAATAAATTATTTCACTATATACATATATATACGTAAAGCTATATCCAGATGTATTTATTTGCATATATGTACATACGGCCCTCTGTTCCACCTAGGAATAAAAGGATTAAATAAATAATAAACATATGCATATATTTAGCTGCGTTTATCAGCTAAATGCATCTGGATATAGCTTTACATATATATAGATATATATATATATATATATATATATAATGAAATAATGTATTTGTATATACATATATAAGCATAGATTCTGAAAATATTATATATAAAACTACTATTTATGTCCAATATATTAAATAATATAAATTATATAAAACAATATAAGAACTGAAATGTCAGTAAAGGGATTTATTTATGTTAATATGCTTATATATAAAAAATATATATTTTTATATATACATAAGCTATATATATTTATATATACAGAAACTATATATATTTTTATATATACATAAGCTATATATATTTATATATACAGAAACTATATATATTTATATATATACGTACTAGTGTATATATAAAATGTGTCCCTAAAAAATTGAAAATGTTATCAAACTTCCGATATATTAAAGTAGAAGTATATTTTCTATAATAATCCTTATGCGATAATATTCCAGACAAGCTGAGATTAAATTCGAATCCGAGCATGTTTAAATTTCTCCACACAAATTAGTAATGACTCAAGCCCTGTTCAGATATATTGGTGAAATCATAAGTCACGCTTAAAACACCAGCAATGCGAAGGTTGTCATCTATCTAGCACACAACTTTTCTAAGTAATGCAATAATACAAGTACAAGAAGTTAAGTTTTCTATTCCACCTCATTTTTTCTAAAAAAATTAAAAGGGGACCTTTTACTTCGGAACTCTAAGTAAAACTATTTCACATTTAAGATTTCTTTGTAAACTAACTGTTGAGTTCCTGTTAATTTAATAAGTATTCATACATAAACTACCTTCTTCATTAAAGGTTTATATAGATTTATTATCATAGAAGTTAGCATCAGAACTTAACTGATAAGTAAATATACTCTTAAAAGAATTTTTACAACAGATTATTATCTTATGGTTGATAAAAGAGCTAGCAAAACTAATCTCATCATCCATGGTTTGATCTCTGCAAAAAAATGCTTTGGAACTTATTTCTTCTAATGAGATTAAACAAGTACACATGATTAGAATAGTGAGACTTAAAAAGCTTGCAAAAGAACCCATATAAAACTATTAAATGGGTTTTGCTTCCGTCAACATATAGTATAGTATTATATGATATATTAAAGACATTATGAATGTTGGACTTAAGAACAATTTAAATAAATTTGTTATTGTTATAATAATCTGAACTAATAAAAACTTTATTTTTAGTCTTGTTTATTGCTCCAGCAATTTGATGTCAGTCTTAAATCAATCAGATAGTATCAAAATTAGATGGTACTCTCCATTTGTCTGGCTATTTTGCAGCAGAAGTTCTTAGCTTAAATATATATTTTATTTTTTTTCTTACTTATATTAAATAAATTTCAAATCGATTTTATTAATTGAAATAAAATTATAAGAAATCGTTTTAGGAGTAATGTAAGATCTAACATAAATTAAAAAGTAATATTATGTATTATAAGAGACAAAGTTGCGGTATAAATTGAATATGAAAGTATTTAATATATGATATATGTACATATAACAATCTTAATGATAATTCTTTATATGGAATATAACTGTGAAGTTCTTCAAATTCTATATAATACATGCATGCATATTTCGTCAAGAATAGGTAGAAGTGACTTCGGAGTAACAAACGGAAGATATCTAATAAAACCTATTTCCAATGTTTGTGAGAATATTTCAAATCTATGTAGCATAAATTTTAAAGTCTTTTGCAAACATTTTTTACCTTTTGATGACGACGTCGAAACTTAAAATGAAAGACTATTATGCGGTGGAGGAAAACATATAGTAGTTGCGAATTTTTGCTGAATTAAGTTCTCTATCTTACAAAAATCTAAAAAATGTGATAAGTTTATAGTTTCAAATTGACACTTATAAATTTTTGTCGAAAATAATCCTTTTTTTTTTCTTACACAGGAAGAAAAAATGGGAGCAAGAAGCTGTAGCTACTTCTGAAGAAGCAACAATTTACATCCATTGTAACTTCAAAACTTAGAAGTAAGTCTGCCAACCCCACTTTTGTTAAAGAAGTATTGCACGAATTAATATTATTTACTTGCTTGAAAAGTGCACCAAATAATTATGCGTATATATATCACACATTATTTACTCACATACCGTTTTCGATTAGTAAATCATGCGCAATTTTTTCAATCGAAATTGACTTTCAATCGAATTTTCATCTTCGATTGATAAATTTTGTGCGAAATGTATAACACTCAAGATTAATATAAAACACTCCAGATATTTTACCAGAGTAACAGGATTACCCTGAAATTAACAGCTATTTTATATGACTTGACAGATAAACTGTGATTTAATTCGATATATGTATTTATGAAAAATATATATATCTACTAATATAACCAAAATTTGACAGACCAAGAGTGAATCTAGATTGAATCCAGATTCAGCAATCGAAAACGCCATTAAACAAATTATGTATATATGTTACTACGTTATGTTCTGCTTACGCATTGTGCTTACTCAATTTTATAATACTGTCATTAATTATTTTAATTTAATTAAATTATATAAAAAAACTTAAGTAAGGATTAATAAAATTAACTCCACGGGAAAATGCACCAAATGGTAAAATCTCCGAATGTAAAATTCCAATCCCTCGTCACAAAAAAAAAACAAAAACAATAAAATACAGAAAAAAATTTTCACACAAATAAGCAATAATGTTATTTCTTCCCAAATGGTCATGGGTGTGATGGGAATCCGTAACTCGCATACCAATCAAAAACTCCTGCGAAAATCACAACATTCTACTTATATAATATGTGTTTTCCATAATTTAAATTATGTGGATTTTCCTCTTCATCAAATATATTATTAAAATAAGTACAATAACAAAAACGAGGATCACAGTTAGTAC